TCATTGGATGCTACACCTGCTTCTGAGCCTCTTGGTAGCCAAGGCAAAAAGGGAAATGGGTTGCATTGTCTTTTTTGTTGTTTGTTTTTGGATTTTACTGAGGAAGCATACACATGTGTTTGGAAAGACAGAATGTTTTCATGATAGTAGAAAGCATGAATCCTATGAGCCCTGATAGGAAGGGCTTTGGGAAACCACATAGTTTGAAATTATTTGTTCTTTATTATGGTTTTACAAAGGATTTTTTAAAAGTTCCTCATTGCTTTTTTTCTTATAGAACTGCGACTCTGATGCATACTCATTTTGGTGGCTTGACTGAGAGCCACCTACTTTTTTTGTAATTTCTACTCCCACCTTCCTGCCAGGAGTCAGATTTTTCATCTAAAATAGAGCTTTCGTTCTAGCAGAGTCCCAAACAGAAGGGGCTGCTCCCCTGGCTGGCTGCCTGCAGCTTGTTTTCCTTTCTCTGAGACAGGTTCTCCCTGTGCAGCCCAGGCTGGCCTTGAGCTTGGCAACTTGCTGCCCCAGCCTCCCGAGTGCAGGGGTGACAGGCGTGAGCCACTGCCCAGCCACAACTTGTACGTGACAGGAAAGCACATGAGGGCCACGCGGGCCACCCGGCCGGAGCCGGAGGCCTCTTCCTGACAGGGGCCTCGGTGCATAGGGGTCAGCAGCCCGGAGCCAGTGCTGCGGCCATGACCAGCGAGGGTGCGGCCAGAGGGGCCACCTGTGGGGTGACGCTGTGGGCAGGATCCACAGACCGCGCTGGCGCTGCGGTAACCACACAGTGCCCACGGAGCACGGCTGTGCGCGGTACAGGCCACGGCACACGTGGGCCGGCCCTGTGCTGGCTTCGCTTTCTCCTCCTTCCATTGCAAATACACCCTCACCTCGCCACCCTCCAAGGTGACCCAGGGTTTCCAAAAGACCGGGGTGAGTGTGGCCAGATGAATGGGTTCTTAATTGGGAAAAAGCAAGCATCGCCCTGTGTTGGTCGCCGTGGGTGACGAGCCTGCGTCTTGCCTTTAGGAGGCCCACGTGTCTGCCTTCTCTCTGCTCCCCTAGCCTGTCTCCCCATCCGCGACCACGTGGCCCTCAATGTCACCAGCAGCAGCTTCCGGGTGTCCTGGAGCGTGAGTCCTTCTCGGAGCCAGGACTTTCTTGTGCAGGTGTACCGGGGTGAGCAGCTGCTCCAGGGCGCCTGGCGCAGTGGCCCAGGCCTGTGGGTGACCGGGCTGGAGGCCGGGCAGCTGTACACAGTGAGGACCAGCTACCAGGGCTGCGGGGCCAATGTCTCCACCGCACTGAGCATCAAGACTGGGAAGGCTGGCCAGAGTTGTGTCACCTCCTCGGGTGATATTCTTCCTGTCCCAGGTCTCTGGGCCCCAGCACATCACTCTGTCCTCCTGTTGTTGGGACAGCAGAGGTGGCTGCCCACAGCACACTCTGTCCCCTGTGGGCTTCCCACTCTTGGCCTTTGCATCTCTCTCTTTTTTTTTTAAGTCCTTATTCTTTTATTTTTTGGTACTGGGGATTGAACTCAGGACCTTGCGCTTTCGAGGCAGGCGCAGTGCCACTAAGCTAAATCCCCGGCCCCCGGCATTTCTTGTCTGGCTCACCATGCCATCAGTCGGCAGTGACAGGGTTTGTGGGGACCCGTCTCTCCATCATCCAAAGCACGTACGGGGTGTGATCAAAAATGGGGAATGTGTACACTTTTAAAATGATCACAGTAAAAACACATTGCCATGAATCCCCTCAGAATCCTCCCCCTCCCTTCCAGCACATTCATCCCCTCGTCCTCACCACTTCCTGCAGCGGCTCTGGAGCCCTCTTTCCTGAGCATCTTTACTTGTGGTGTCCTGGCTGCCTTGATGAATCAATTCAAAACCTGTCCCTGCCATGGTCATTTTGGCTTTGGGGAAGAGCCGGAAGTCACACGGTGCCAGATCCGGTGACTAAGGTGCATGAGGACACAGCGTCCTGTCCTTATGAGCTCCCTTTCGGTTGGATGGTGCTCAGCAGCAGTCACTGTATTTTTGATCACACCTCGTAAAGACCCTCATGGACACTCAGAGCCCTCCACTTAGTCTCCAGTTTCCCAGGGCCCCACCTTGCCTGCCCAGGGACAAGGGGGGTACACTCCTTTCCCTGGGGGAAGTGAGGCCACAGAGGGGTCGCTTACCTGAAAGTCATGCTGCATGTTGAGGGGCTTGTGTTCTCCCAGCTCCCGAGCACCACGGCCTCCTGCCCCATGAGGGCCCCACACTGCTCCTCAGCTCACCCTAGTGCTGTCTCTCTATGGGGACACAGAATGGAGACCCCCACCTCCTGCACCTGGGAAAGCTCCTCAGTCCCAGCCTGGGATGGAGTCAGGAGGCCCTAGTGATCCCCCGCCCGCCTGTTTTGCTCTTCAGCCTTGATTTTCTTCCCTTCTTTGTGTTGCAGAAATGCCTTTGGTCAGTGCAGCCCTGCTGGGCACTCTATGCCCTTTAAAGGGCTTTTCCAACCTGACCTTGTGCCCCTTGCGGCCCCAGGTGGTGGATGTAACCACAGCAGCCGATGTCCCGCACCTCCCTGGGAGCCCAGGGCACGTGGTGCTGGATGTCCCCAGGCTCTGTGGCTCAGGCCATGACCCTGACTGGCCCGGGCCCTGGGGGCCTCTCTTGCTGAAGCAGCTTCCGAATCTAGGGCTTCCCTCCCAGGTTTCACTGACCTGCACTCAGCCGTGCTCTGAGATAGGAATGGAACAATGCTCACATTGTTTTTGTTAGTACATGTTTGCAGCACACAGTGTTTACATTGGTGTGTGGAGCTGGGGCTTGCACATCTCTCACCCCAATTCCCGTTTTCATCCTTTCCCCTCGTCTCTCTCCCCACACATCTTTTGGTCCCCTTCTCGGTGAGAACAGTCTCTCTCCCTACTTCCTATTAACTATCTTTTATGCTACTCTTTATTTATAATTTGAGTTTCTCATATAAGAGAAGCCATGCAACATTTGAGCTTGTGTGTCTGATACACTTCCCTTAGCATTATGGGTCTCAAGGTGCCTCTAGTTTCCTACAGATCCCAAAAGTTTATCCTCCTTCATGGCAGTGCTCCATGGTGTGTAAATAGCACGTTTTCCTTATCCATTCATCTGTTGATGGGCATATAGGCTGCTTCCGAGATTTAGCTCTTATGAGTTGCGTTGCTGTAAACATGGCTGTGCATGGGTCACTGTGATATGATGCCTTTAACTCTTTTGGGAAGATAGGTAGAAGAGAAATAGCTGGGTCAAATGGAATTTCTAGTTTCAGTTTTTTGAGGAATCTCCACACTGATTTCCGTAGTGGTTCTAGTTTACCTTCCCACCAACTGTGTAGAAGGGTTCCTTTTTCCCCCTCAGCCTTGCCCGCATTCATTATTTTCTGCTTTCTTGATGCTGGCCAGTCTTTTAGGGGGTGAGATGGAAGCTCAGTGTTGTTTTAATTTGCATTTCCGTAATGACCAGTGATGCTGAGCATTTCTTCCTGAATTTATTGGCCATTTGTACTACTTCTGTGAAGTGTCCGTTCCTTTCGCTTGCTCATTTTCTATTGGGTCTTTTATTTTGGGGGGGGTCTCATTTTGGGGGGGGTTTATATATTCTAGATATGAGTCCTCTGCCAAGTCCTAAGTTTTAAGTGACTTTTATTCCAGTGTGCTGTTATAATCGCTCCACTTACTATTGGTTATGTTTCATCGCTTCCTCTCCCTGATTTGCAAACTGCAACACAGGTGGGGTCTCAGGAAAGAGCGGCCCACGTAGGCTTAGGGACTGTCTGTGGGCTCAGGTGTCCGCTGGGCATTCTGGGAGGTCTCCTTGTGTCCTCAGCACCGTGGCCACAGGTGATGGGCTTTGTGTGGGACCCTTGGCCACCAGGTCAGAATGGGGTCAGGCTGTTCAGGGTCAGAGAAATGGGGAGCTGCTCCCCTAGACCCACTGACCGGCCCTGTGCAGGCCGCTTTTCCTCTGGAATGAAAGTGACAGCACTTCCCCTGTCCCACCTGGAGTCTTTCAAGCATCCAGAGAAAGAGTCACCTCCCTGGCAGGTGACCAATCTCCCAGTTTCCCGGGGACAGGGAAGCAGGACTTTTGGAGCTGAGACCCGGACAGTCCCAGCAAACTGGGACCAGTTACCCCCCTCCTGTTGGGGCCTTTGGGGAGGCCAGGCAAGATCCTGGGTGGGTCTGGTGGTTATGCACAGGACAAAGGGGCTCAGCAGCCCCCAGGAAAGAAGACTTGGAGGGGTCTTTGTACCCCCATGTGTGTCTGCATTCCAGTCCCTGCTGGTGTGGACCGACCCTCATTCTCGCTTCCCTGTCCTGGCCGTGACCATTTGTGCTGATGGAAATATTCCTTGCCCAGATTCCTCCAGTATGGCCACATAAATCTAAGTCTCAGTTCGTAATATACAGTGGGCCCTCGACATACGAACTCAATTTGTTCCCAAGGGCTGTTGTAACTCACATTGGTCCGTGAAGGCTCAGGCTCCTCCGCAGCCTTCAGAGTCTCTCTCTTGCACATGGCAGATCTCAGCGTCCTTAGAGAGACACCGGCCCAGGATTTCTCAGTGAACCCTGCACAGGAGAGGATGCTGTCATGTTCCTTCCAGAGATCTTTAAGGTTCAATCTGTATCTGAGGCCATCTGGAAGCACAAGCGGCTGGCATTCGGGTTGTAACTCAAGACTTTGTTCATAAGCTAAAATGAAAATTAACAACCCAAGTTGTTTGTATGTCAGGCCTGTTGTAACTTAAGGGTCCACTGTACTTTTAAAAAACTTCTACATCAAATAACGGGTTTTATGGAAATCATTGGTGGGAGCATGTGTGACTACTTATTTAGCCCTTTTGCGCTGTGGGGGATGGAGCCCAGGGCCTTGTGCACACTAAGCGAGGGCTCCGCATGAGTCCCACCCCCAGCCCAGTGACTTGTGACCTCAGCTTCCAGCTAACAAGTGTCCTGTCTGCCTCAGACACCCGGGTGTTTGAAGTCGTCATAAGGATCACTGACCGCAACCTGACGGACCAGCTGCTTGACGGCAGCAGCGAGGAGCACCGGAACTTCTCCCAGCAGCTGCTGCGCGAGGTAACGGCAGACGGCCGGCCATTCCTAGGTGCTCTGAGCCGGGACACCGACTCGGCCAGCTCCTCCCCTTGGGGAGGCAAAGTCACTGCTACCTGTGCATCAGGGAAGTCGAGCCCGCGTCTCACAGGAGTCCAGGGCAGCTAACTAGATCTTCATACTGTGTGGCTTCCGCCAGGGGGGCTGCACCGCTGGACCCCACCACAAGGCTTTCTGTGGATGCCTAGATCCCAGCACACTGGCTGAGGACTCGAGGCCCCTGGGTCAGACAGAAGGATGGATTTCTCCCTGCACGGCAGGCAGCCCGGGTCTGTGGGGTCCCCCTGGGCTCCCCCCACCCCGCCACCTTCAGTCTGCAGGTGCACACGAAGCGGGTCTGTGTCACAGCCGGGGACCCCCAAGCTTAGGAAGCCTAGATCTTTTCTAGTGGGCCACAGGCGAACCTGCCTGAACCTTGCCCCAGGAGGGGCCGCTGGTGTGTTTTACTGGGTGGTCACTGGGGCACCCTCCTTCCAGGGAAGCTGCACCCCGGTCCCCCAAGGCCGTTCACTGTGCAGCAGCCGTAGAGAGAGTCTCCTGCCTGTAAAGGGCAGTGTGCTGCTCTCCAAACCCTTCCTCGGAAAGTCAGCTTTTGAGGGTGCTGGGGACTCTGGCTTTCCCAACGCACGTTCCCTGGTTTTCGGGGGGACCCCAAGTACGGGCTCTGGCTGCGTGCTTTCCGGGGGTCCAGCCCAGTGCAGGGGGACAGCTCCTTTCTGGTTCCTCTTCACCGTCACTCAGTCACTGTCCCTGCCTCACCCCCCACCAGTTCCCTTCTCGCCAGTTTTCAGGGCACCCAGGCAGATGTTTGTCCGATGCGCATGGCCAGAGGTGGATCGTAGTGCTCACTGTGGGGTCTCCGGGAAGACCAGATCCACGCCTCAGATGTTTCAGTGGCTGTGGTCTCTTCCCCGCCAGGTTGAGAACTCCTTCCCGCCAGCCGTTTCCGACCTGCACAGAAGGGGGAAGCTGAAGCTGCAGATCGCGTCGCTCCGGGCGGGAAGCCTGGTGGTGTCGCTCCGAGTCACCGTGCGAGACCCCGAGTCCCCAGTGGGTGTCTCCACACTGGCCCCCATGCTCCAGCCTCTGTGTGCAAGCTCCGTGTTCCAGATCGACCCCCAGGGGACGCAGGTGCAAGGTGTGTGCCCCCCACCCTGCCGTGCTGCCGAGCTGGCTAGATCGTCTAGGTGGCTCTGAGTCAGATTTTCCAAAGCCAAAGCCAAACGCCGTGAAGGAGACCCAGGGCCTGTTCTGAGTCCTCCGCAGGAACCAGGGCAGAGTCAGGGACCTGTGTCCACCCTTTGTTCCAGGGAGGAGGCAGCACCACTGGGCAGGGGACTTATTTCTGAGCAAAATGGGGCTGGGGGTCCAGGTGGGGCAGAGGCCGGGGCTCCCGTTCCTGCAGTCGGGGTCCCAGCATCTCGGGTGTCTGTTAACTGGGCACCTGCTGGGCTAGTTGATCGGCCTCTGTGGTGTCTCAGTTCACTTCCTGTCGCTTTGGAGCGGGAGGCTGCAGATGCAGGAGGACAGAGAGACAGAGACAGACATAGAAACACAAAGCCTCCAAGGGAGAGACCTAGACAGACAGAGAGATCCAGCAAGATACAGCAAGGCTGGACAGAGAGAGGCAGAGGAGCCGACAGATACGGGGCAGAGAGAAGCAGACAACGCTCGACACAGAGAGACCTGGAGAGGGCAGGAGACGGAGCTGGGACAGGGTGAAGCTCCTCCTCGCAGTGGCGCACTGGCCTCTGCACCTGGAACTGGGAGCCCCCCAGCAGGCGGGTCTCAGCGTGAGCAGGGTCGCCTTGAGCTCAGTGTGTGCTGGCTGTCCCCACATCCATCCCCTGCCCAGGAGCGCCTGTCTGCACCTTGGAGTTGCCCCGGAAATGCTCAGCCAGGCCACCCTGCTCACTGGGTGACCTCAGGGATGAAGGTGGTCCTGCCACCGTTAGGGCCTTCTCTAGCAGGGCCGGGGGGCTGGGCACCTGGTGTCCACCGAGACCAGCCCTCTGGGAGGTCCAGCCCTGCCTGCCTCCCCAACCCTGATGGACCAGGGCCCGGGGTGCACCAGGTCTCAAGCAATGGACCCTGGGCGCTTGGAATCCAGAGGTTTGAACAGCAGACCCCAAAAGATCCTTCTTTCTACCCAGGACCTCCAAGTGTGACCTTATTTATTTAGAATAAGGGTTTGCAGCCCTAAGTAAGGCCAGAATCTCAAATGACATCATCCTGGGGCTGGACTTGCGTGGGCCCTGGAGCCTAGGACAAGTGTCCTTGAATGAGCGGAAGAGCCTCCCACGTGAAGTTGGAGAGTGGGGGATGTGGCCCCGAGCCCAGGGGCCCCCGGAGCCATGGGGAGGTGGAAGAGGCAGGAGGAGAGTCCCCAGCCAACATCTTGGTCGAGATCTCTGCCCTGTGGCTCACAGAGAAGTCACACTGTGGTCACAGCCGGAGTGCCCCTGGGTCCTTTAGGAGCACTTGCTCACGCCTGGCGGCTGGTGTGTCCCTGGCCTGACTCCGGAGGCTGTGGGAGACCCCCAGGGAAGCAGGGTGTCATGCCCTCGTCTTTGCCCTGAGCCTCTGCTCATCTTGACCCGGCTGGCCGCCCAGCTCAGTGCCGACATGCCTGGCAGTCTTCCCGCGTGCACACCGCACTGCCTTTGAGGTGGGAGCCGGCTGGCCTTTGCTGTAGGCTCGGTGAAAGCCTGTCTCACCCTGCACGAGAGCCGTGCACAGGTCCACGCTAGGCAACATGCCAGCACTTCACACAGATGCCGCGTGTTCGGTGGTTCTCGTCGTCCTGGGCGCAGCCTGCAGGAGGGGGTCAGGTAGCGCCCCTGGAAGGTGTGTGAAGTGTCCCCAGGAAGCAGTTCGCAGAGACGGCAGACCACACGTGCCTCTGAGCTCTCCACTGCAGAACAGACCCAGGCCCCTGTCTTGGCTCTGATCCAGCCAACTGCCTGCTGCAGGCCTGTGGGGCTGGGTGTGCACTCCCAGGCACCTCCACTTGCTGCTGGGCCTGGCCTACCTCCCGGCACCCTGCAGGAACCACATGCTTCCTGCGGGCTGGCCCCTAGCAAAGGTGGCTCCCTTCAGAGTCCTCCCCAGCCAGCAGGCTGTACCCCGAGGCAAAGTCTCCCCCTGCTCTGGGGCCCAGTGGCTTCCCTGTGATCCCCAGCAACAGGCCTTCCAGCTTGAGATATCTTATTTTTCTTTTTCAGACAGGGTCTCACTATGTAGCCCAGGCTGGACTTGAACTCAGGGCGATCCTCCTGCCTCAGCCTCTCGAGTGCTGGGACTACAGGCATGTGCCACTGTGCCCAGAGAGATATCTGATCTTAAGGTTTCATTCATGCCTATGGTTTAGTCGTGTGCCAAAATCCACAGGAGCATCTTGGAACCATGGAGGGGTCGGGTGGGGTAACCAGGGAGACCAGAAAGGGTGTCAAGGAGGAGAAGGAGAAGGGCGTGGCACCCCCAGGTGCTTCTGTTGTGAAGTTTGGCCCCAGGTGTGTCTGGCTGACCAGACTTGGGTAGAGGTGCAGGGACATGCGGGCAGGGACTTTGGGCCCTGAGGGTTACAGGTGGGGACCTTGCCTGCACCCGCTTCCTGGGCCACGGGATGAGGTGCCCATGACTGGTCCTGCCCGGAAACCTGGACACTCACAAATGGCAAAGAGTCCAGAGGCCTTGCCCGACCCCTCCCGGCTCGGGGCTTTTCTGCATGTTGGTTGAAACACTGACTATTAAGGAATGTCACCCCAGCAGAGGGAGAGAGAATAAACAAGAGGAACAAATCAGGTAGAGCAGTGCACACCTGTCATTCCAGCACTCTGGGGGGCTGAGGCAGGAGGGTCCCAATTTCAAGCCTAGCCTGGGGAACTTAGCAATTTAGGGAGACCCTGTCTCTAAAGAAAGAATACAAAAGGGAAAAGGGGCTGGGGATGTAGCTTAGTGTAAAGGCCCTGCGTTAATGCCCAGGACAGATTGAGAGAGAGAGAGAGAGGGAGGGAGGAGAGAGAGAGGAAGAGGAAGAGAGAGAAAGGAAAGCGGAACGTGCTCACGCCTGTGGGGAAAACGCAGCCCAAGGAGCAGCGACCCCGTTTTCCCCCTAAGTACCCAGCGGCCGGGATGGCAGCAGGGCTGGCTCTTAGTGGGGTGCCTGGTTCAAGGTCAGGGCTCCGGGAGGGCCCTGGTGCAGGCCTTGCGCCGGGCGCTGGCAGTGTGGGTGTCACGTGGGGTGCTCTCCCGCTTTCCAAGCAGCCCGGCCACCTTCTCACTGCCGCCTGCCATGTGCCCGCAGACTGGGACGAGTGTGCCCACAGTTCGGAGCACGACTGCTTGCCCGCCGCCCGCTGCGTCAACCTCGAGGGCTCCTACACCTGCCAGTGCCGCGAGGCCAAGGATGCCAGCCCCGGTCGGGCCGGCCAGGCCTGTGAGGGTGCGTGTCCCCCGTCCCCGTGCCCCCTGTCCCACTCTGGGCCCCGGCTGGGGAGGTCTCCACCAGGAACAGTGCCACGGGCCCACGGGAATGTTTCAGTTTTCATTTAAAATAGCGATGATCGTGGTAAATACACAGAACGACTCCAGCCCGGCTTCTTTTCATCTCTACCCCAAGGTAGTTGTAAAATTGAATCTTAATGATGTTTATGGAGGGTGTAGGAGCCCAAGGAGGGGTGGGAGCCTAGGTGAACTGACCTGGAGCCCTAGTCCTGCCGCATCTCTGCCCCAGGTCTTTTTGGGGGTCCACTTCTGATCAGTGGACTGGGGCCAGCAGGTTGCTGAGTGCAGAAGCAGGAAGAAGCCCCCTGCAGACTTCAGATGCTGTGATTGATTGGCCATGTCTGGCCTGGGCGCAGGCGTGGGTGGAATAGGTGCTCGCTCTGCCTCATCCCCAGGGAGGGCACTCTGGGGGAGAAATCCTGATGCCCCTTCTTGCTTCCGATGTTCCCATGTGTGGCTCTTTGTTCTACTTCACTGAATGCCCAGCGTGCTGGTGAGAGAAGTTAGCACTGAGCGCCACATCAAGTGCAGACTTAGGGGAGCCTGCCATTTTCCCAGAGCCTCGAGGGAGCATTCTGAGGCTGCAGGACAAGGCCTGCCTGCCCTCCAGCCAGGGTCTGCAGCCCCCCATGGCCCCCAGCTCTCGGGGTCTCAGCTTCCCTTGCATCAAGTGGGGAAGCCCCCCTGCCTCTGCCTTAAGGGAGCCAGGAGGCAGCAGATGCGGCCTCACAGGCCAATCGGCCTGTGTCCTCCTTCGGATTTCCCGGCCCCGACAGTGGATGTGTCTTGCAGGTGACGAGGTGAGCCCCTCCGGACGTGCTCTGTCTGCAGCCACAGGGGTCACAGCTCCAGCCCTCGGCACGGGGACCACAGCCCTTGTCCCAGAGCCCCCGACGTTGTCCCTCAGCCCCAGGAACCTGGGAGGCTCCCCGACGGCAGCCCAGGCCCAGACCCCAGGGTCTCCGCCCACGAGAGGGGCAGGTGGTACAGTCGGACACGGAGGAAATAGCACAGGGCCCGGCAGGTGGGACAAGGGGCCCAGTGTGGCCCCAGACCCAGGGCCGGGCCACGGGGTCACCGGTGGGGTGGCCAGCACAGCCTTCTTCCCCAGGGCTCCCGGGCCAAGCCCTGGTTCCCCTCAGGGGACCACAGATGGCCCAGTGCAGCCCCCAGGACAGTCACGGGGAAACATCACCATGGAGCTGCCTCCCTTGCCGGCCTCCCCCACCGGCCCCCCAGGGCATGTTGAGTGGCACAGCAGCCGGCCCACAACGGGGACGCCACTGAGCTCCGTGGGACTGCGGCACGAGGACCCTGGTCCTTCCCCCTTCCCAGACTCGCCGACAGTCCCCACCCCTGTGGCTCTGAAGACCCCTGGCTGTGGTGAGTGGCCCTAGGGACCCAGACCCTGGTGGGAACTTTGAAATCCGTGGTGTCCCCCACCCCGTCCCCTGCATGGTGAGAGGACGCCTGTGCAGAGCAGTGGCCCTCCACGCTGGCGTGCGTCTGGATAGGGAGAGAGGCCCCTTCTCCAGCCTCTCCTGGTCTCTAAGGCTCCTGCTTTGCAGGAGGGGGAGGCGACACTGGGGTGTGCGTGTTCTGTGGGCACTGGAGCACCCTCAGGTGTCGAGTACCCCGATAGTCCTGTGCCCCTGATGGTGCTGTGCCACCCACAGCTCTGCACCCTGGTTTTGCTGTGCACCAGCCTGTCCTGCACCCCAGCTGTCTGTACCCTAGTTGCCTGCACCCCCAGCTGTTTGCTCCCCAGCTGTCAACCCCCCACTGTCCTGCACCCCTGATGTTTTGCAGCCGTCGGATCCACACTGTACACGGGGGTTTAGCTTCCCAGGCCCCAGGGCACCCTGGTGAGCAGCACTGTGCTGTAGCAGCCTCCTGCTCGTGGTCCTGCTGTGCACGCAGAGCGGCTCCACCCTGACCTCAGCCCCTCGGCACAGCTCCCACCCAGCTCTCCGCCCCATGCTGGGATTATCCTCCCTCCACCCAGGCTGTCCTCTGGGGTGTCCACCGGGTGAGGGTGGACAGCTTGGCCGGGAATCCACCCAGATCCTGTGGAAGAGGCTTTGGCCCTGGGGACCACAGGGCCAGCGTGACCACCCTCAGAGACCAGGCAAAGCGAGGGAGGGTGAGCTGTGACCACAGGGCCGGGCGCTGTCAGGACAGGGGCCTCCTTAGGGTGTGCTGCTGTGGGGCCGTCCTCCCGGGATCTTTCTGGCGGCTGTCACTGCAGCCCGGCTTGTGTCTTGGATCCATTTCTTCCCTCAGAACAGCTGGGTCAGTTCTAACTTCAGCGTTTTGGTTTCACTCCCCAGGTCCTGTCCCCATCAGAAAGGTCACGATCTCCAATGTGACCAGCACCAGCTTCCATCTGGCATGGGTGGCAGATGTCGCCCTGCACCCCACCTTCCATCTCGCTGCTGTCTCTCCACGGAGCCCCGCCGTGGGTCTGGACACCCAGGAGCCCAGTGCCACGCTGTCGGGGCTGGATCCTGGCGTCCTGTACCTGGTGCACATCACGGCCAAAGCGTGTGGGAAAGAGGGAGCCAGGATGCAGCTGAAAGTGAGGACAGGTAGGGCCTTGGCCGGGCGAGCCCCACTGTGTGTACCGGGGGCAGTGCTGGCCCAGTGCTGCTGCGTGTCGCTTCTTCTGGCTGCCTGGCCCCACAGGGTTGGACCGGGCTGTGCAGCTCCTGTCAGGAGCGGGCGTCAGGCAGCTGGGCAGAGCCAGCTTTGTGAGCACACCTGGTGCTGCTTCTCTGGGTCCAACAGTGGCACCGTGTGCATTCCTCTGGCCCCCTCACTCCCGGAGACTTGCTCTTCTGTCAGACATGGGCAGGGCTCCACCAAAGCCACGACCACGAAGCGACAGGACTGAGCAGGGCAAGTCCCATCATGTCGGAGTGTCCTTATCTATGACTGCATATTCCAGCCCGGTGTGGTGTGAGCCCACCACTCAGTGAAACGGAGGCAGGAGGATTGTAAATTCCAGCCTAACCTGGCTAATTTAGAGAGGCCCCGCCTCAAAATGAAAAATAAAACCTGGGCCGGGGATGCAGCTGAATGTGATGGCTCCGGGTTTAATCTTCAGTACCACAAAAACAAAAAAAGAAAGGGGCCGGGGATTTTAGCTCAGTGGCACCGCACCTGCCTTGCAAGCGAAAGGTCCTGAGTTTGATCCCCGGTACCAAAAAAAAAAGAAAAAAGGCATAGATTCAGGTGTGACTCCCCTTCCCTCTTCATTAGCACATGTCACCTGGCTATTTTCTTACATGAGTGACCCATCCACCCGCCTGCATGTCTGACGTGGCAGGTGGTCCGCACATCTCAGGAGACGTTGGTAGCAGTGGCCACAGGCTAGGGGACAGAGAACCATGGGACAGCTGTGTGGTTCAGGTTAAGAGAGAATAAGAAGCTCCTGGGGACCAACTCCGAGCCTCTGGGGGGACCCTTGTCTTTCTGCCCCACCGCCCTGCACCCGACACAGCATGAGCTCCACAAACCCCGGGAAGGACGGAGTGAGGCGGGAGGCAGAGCACCCTGTTCCTAGAAGCCCTTCAGGGGCCCAGAGCCAGGGGGAGCAGAAGGCAGGGCTACCCAGAGGCCAGGGAGCAACAGCACTGTGGGAGGAAGAGGAGCCTGGCACCCGCCCTGCCCCGGTGTGGGCCCTGTGTGTGTCCCAGTGAGGCCCCGAGAGCTGCTTCCCGCTGCGGCCCTGGCCTAATATTTCCTGGGCCTCCGTGCTGTCCTGGCCTGACCCCTGAGCCCCGGTAAGTGGCCCCTGGGGACACAGGCTGCGTGGGACGAGGTTGAAGCTGAGCTGGTTCTGCAGCCTCCAGAAGTGTCTGCCCCTGTGCTGGGCCTGTCCTCATCCTCTGGATCCTGGGGCCGCACCTGGGCACAGCGCTGATCTCTCTCTAGAGTGCAGCCCAGCCCTGCACGCTGTCCTTCCCGCCAGCGGGGACACAGGGCTGTGGCCTGGGGCGGGGCCGTTCCCAACGCTTCCCTTCCCACCCTGCAGCGGCCCAGAAGCTCAGAGGCAGAGTCAGGATCTCAAGCATCAGGTACTCAGAGTCCTTCCAAGATGCCAGCAGCGAGCAGTACCGAGACTTCCTGGGCCTGTTCTCCAGGGCGGTGAGTCAGGGCGTCGCCCCCATTCCTCTGGCGACGTAAAGGAGGAGGGCAGCCGAGTTCTAGACTCATCCAGCCGGGAACTGGGCCCACGGGCCGGCGGGCTGCTCAGTTCCCACGGAGGCTGGGGCTCAGCCCTGGCAGCTGGAGGGGAGCAGCACCCCTCCCCGCCCCCTCGATTCACGGTCCTCTGTCCACCGAGGCACCCTGCAGCCGTGCAGAAACCCCGCCCCTGCTTCATTAAAACTAAAACCTGAGGGTCTCTTGTACAGACCACAAAATGCCTATTAAAAAAAAAAAACCCAGCTTTCTTGAACTAAAATTTGCATGCCACACAATTTACAGACTTTAAGATTCTGCAGATGTTAGCACATCGACAGAGTTGTGCAACCATGACCACAGTGGAATTTAGATCATTTTGTTGTCCCAAAACAAACATTCTACCCACTAGCTCTCCCTCCCAGCCCCTCCACCCTAAATCTAGGCAACCACTCAGCCACTCTCTGTCCTCGTGGGTTTCCCTGTGCTGGGAATTTATTTATTTTTAATTAAAAATAGACCGTGATCATAGCAACGATAAAGACCTTAATGTATCCAAAGAGATGGAAATCCTGCAAAGTGAGCTTGCGTACCATATTGCAGTGTAATCAGAAGCCAAGAGCAGAAACATACTTAGAATACAGTAACTGTTTTTCCCCCTCTCTCTTTTTTTTCCTGTTAACTTTTTCATGTAAGGGAAACCATGTAATGTTCAAGTTGTGTGCCTGATTTACTTCACTTAACATAACGGTCTCGAGGTGCATCCATTTTCCTACAGATGCCTCCAGTGTATCCTTCTTTATGGCAGAGTAGTGCTCTGTTGCGTGTAAACACCATGCTTTCTTTAACCATTCATCTGTTGATGGGCAGACAGGCTGCTTCCAAGATTCAGTTGTTGTGATTGTGCTGCTATAAACATGGGTGTGTGTGACCCACTGGGTGTGATGTTTTTTAACTCTTTTGGGAAGATACTCAAAAGGGGAAAAATTCACATTTCAGTGTGTAATTCAGTGGTTCACAGTCTGCTCACAGAATTATGCAGCAGCCATCACCATCTAACGCACCTAAAGGGAACCCTGCGCCATCACAAGTCTTGAGCCTGTCCCCTCCTCCAGCTGCGGTGTCACCACCTGGCTTCCCTCTCTGCAGCCCCTGCTGGATGCCCAGATGCCCAGGGGATGCAGTCGTGTGCCACGTGACCCAGGCTGTCTGGCTTCTCTCACGTGGCATGTGTCTTCCAGGCTCAGTCATGTGGCCTGTGCCACTTTGTTCCTTCCTGGGGTGGGGACAAAATCCCACGGTGCATATAGGCTGCATTTTTTCTTGTCCATTCGTTGATCTGGGTTGCGCCCACTTTCGTCTACTATGAAGCATGCTGCAAGGACCCCCTGCCTTCTGAAAAGCCCCTTTCCCACTGCTCCTGTGCGTCTTCCCTGCTACCTCTTTGGCTTCTCTAGGATAGATGTTGTTACAATCTAGTAGGGGCATCGGCATCGATATCTTTGTTGAAAGTGAGATGATGATTATTATTTTTTGGTACCGGGGATTTAACTCTGGACCTTGCGTTTTCAAGGCAGGCGCCAGAACTGCTGAGCTAAATCCCCGGTCCTGTGAGGTTATGTTTTAAGGTACTGAGAATGCACTGGTCCTAACTGAACGATCTAGGTTTTGTAGTGGAAATCTCACATTTCAGCCTTCCCTTAGTCTGGGAGTTTGAGTTTTAAGACCCAGAACAGAAGGGGTCAGACAGTGCCACCTTGTGGCGGATGTGACAATGCCAGGGGCCGACCGCAAAGCTGGGGTGGCCCTGTGGCTTCCCGGGGACCCCTCCAGCGGGGCTCCCTGGTAAAATGGCCCACCCAGCAGCTGCAGCTCCTGGGACCCAGGGCTGCTCGGTTTATTCTGGGGTCCCCGGCTCCAGCCCATGCCAGGCTGCCCAAGGCGATGGTGGTGTGATTGCGTTGATGTCACTTCCTCCTCGAGGTGAAATGACAGCTACACGTGACATTAAGCATCGCTCCAGTGGTCAGGGGAAGAGGTCCTGTCTCCATCTCAAGCTTCTTGACTATTCTTTTCCCTTTCAACCTAGCCTCCTCCTTTGCCCATTTGGGGAGAGTCGCTTTTCTGTTTAGAATCTCAGGATAGCAGAGAACTGTGACTCAGTGCAGAGGTCGGATGTGGAGATGCGTTGGGAGGTGGCGGGTTCACGTGGCACCTGGCTTGGCATCCGTTCTTAGTGGGGAGACCGGAACTTTGAGGTGGGAACCTTAATCCAAGGATCCAGGGGATCTGTGTGTGGGGGGGGAAGGCTGAGGACAGGAGCACCAGCTGTCAGTCCACAGCCTCTGAGTGGGGACAATGGGTCTGCTCACCTCGGGTGGCTGGGAGCAGGCTGTGGCTCCACAAGCCCATGCCCTGCACCACTTCTTGGCCTGGGACAGAATCCCTGAGCACCGGGGGCCATGTCCTCTGTCTCTCCAAGGTGCGGGACTCTCTGGCGGCTGCGCTGCCCCAGCACGTGGACACCGGCGGGATCAGAATGAGCGTCACCAGCATCACCAACAGCAGTGGCAGTGTCGTGGTGGAGTTTGATCTGCTGATAACGGTGGCCCTGGATGTCCGGGAGGCGTCAGCCGTGTTCCTCGATGCCCTGGGGAACGTGTCCCGGCTGGAGGTGGTCAGGAGCGACGCTGTCATATGGGGTAGGCAGAGGTGGGCTGTCGGGAGCCTCCCTCAATTTCTGGGCAAGAGCCTGCTGTGGCCCTTGGGTTTTGGGAGGATGAGTATTTGGTTTTTGGAAGGGGCTTTTCCTGGAATTCGCTGGAAAATGCAGATTAGATGGGATGCTTCACGCCTCCTACTCTACCAAGATTGTCTCTAAGGTTTAAGGTGTGGGGCGTGGTCCGCTGACCCTGCAAAGACTCCCAGGGTACCTGCCACCTTTTGGGGCTGCCCTGAGGCAGACTTGTCCCTCTAGTCAGCTAGACCTTCTCCCAGCACGCTTTCTAAGAGACCCTCGTCATGCTGTAGAAAGGCAGGGAGAAAAGGCAGCTCTGAGGCTTTTCCTCTATTGTACAAGGTGGGACTGAACAATATGGTTCATTTTTAAATTAAAAAAAATATTACAGTAAAAGACACATCGACACGAATCCCCCTCAATGTTCTCCTCCTCATTTGAACACACTCATCTTATCATCCTGGCCACTTCCTGCAGTGACTCTGGAGGCCTCTTTCCTGAGTATCTTTAGTTGTGCTGTCCTGGCTGCCTCGACATCCTGAATCGATTTCCCTTTCATGGTCATTTTGACCTTGGGGAAGAGCCAGAAGTCACATGGTGCCAGATCCGGTGAATAAGGTGGTCAAGGACACGGTGTTTACATGCTGCCTTTCTGCTGGATGGCACTGGGCAGCAGCACTCACCATATTTTTGATCACATCTCGTGAAGACACTCAGGAGAGAGGACTCCAGAGCTGCTTCAGCAAGTGGCAAGTACTGGAGCCCCCTGCAGTTAGGTTCCAGTACTCTGCCCAGTATATGATGCACTCCTGAGAAATAAAACTAAAAGACAGAACTAAGGGAGAGAAAGCGGGTTGCCGGGATGACCAATGCTGGTGGAACCCACAAAGGCACTGGCCAGTCCCAGGCACTGACTTTTATTGGTGTCAATTGGGGTAGAGGCGAGCTATGTGCGAGGGCAGGACTACGTGTAGTTTCTATGGAAATGAATGTAAACAAGGCTCGTAAAGGACAAGACAAAGCATTCTCAAATTAAGAACAGAATAGACAAAATATATGGTTGTAATTAGAACACTGTCCTTCTAGTCAGAAGGTTTTAGTTGTGGGACCGGAATTTGGGTGCATTATTCTGACCTCAGCACGTAGGCTTTGGCCAGACTCACTTCTATAAACAAGCCAATTGTGGGGTTAGCTCTTCACAGCCTGCTGTGAGGATAATCAATATTATAATCTTCTGCAGCAAGAATGGTGGGGTGAGTGTGCTTAAAATGAAAGAGAGGATTTTTGAAGAAAGTTAATGTAAAAATGTACTGTAAAAAATTTGTATTTTTGATCATCCCATGTACTTGAAAATAAATGATAACTGGATTATAGTTATATATGAACAATGAAGACTTTAAAAAA